TCTGTTCACATACTTTCTAGAACTTTCTCAGCCTGCAGGGCAGCCAAAAGCTGGGCCAGACATGCACTTCTTCTGCCAAGATCTCACATGGGCCTTTGTCTTGTCTCCTCATCAGTCCCCAAGTAGCCCCTGAAGAGTGGGAACTGGGGACCGAGTGTCAGATCAGCCTGGTGTCGTCTCTGCAGTTGACTGATAGGGCAGGACCACCCGCCACATGCTAGAATCTAAGCATCTAGAGGTGGGGCTGGGGGTAGAATGGGCTTGGGAGGAGCAACTCCCCTTAGAGCACGCATGCAATCAGGGTGGGAGGGGCTTTTGGACCCTCTGCTGCTTTTCTCTCAGAAGGGCGCAGGCCCCAGGTACTGGGCAGAAGGCCAAAGAAGAAAGCAGCCAACTACAAACTTCTGGACCACTGCTTAGTCACCAGCTCAGGTTGCTCCTTATCTTGGCAGCCAGGCCCAGCTTTGCAGCTTCATTCTGCCCACATTCTCCTGTCCTCCTAACTGGCTCTTTTTGGCTTCCTGTCTCTCCTGGGCACCTATTCCGTCCTGTCACATGGCCCCTACTTGTGTCATAGCTCTGCCTAACAAAACTAATCATGCTAACAAGCAGAGAGTTAGTACCCACATGGCATTACTGTGTCCTATGGACAGCTCCAAAAGTGTGCTCACTAACCCCACGCCAGTTGTCCACAAAGATGGCCTTAAAGAAGGGACTGAGGTTCTCAAAGCCGCACCTCTGAATGGGGATTCTCTCCCTCAGAGGAGATAAAAGCAGCTGTTGCTTAGTCCACCTTAAGTGTCCTGGACACTGACCCCAAGCTTCCCCAGCAGGCCCTTCCTGCCACAAAGAGCGCTGAGGAGGGCAGCAAAGGGACTGGTGATGGATCACCACCACTGCCATTTTTGGTCTGGTCCACAGACCCCAGGCTCAGATGCAAGGGACAGGTTCACCTCCTTGCTACCTCTCCCTCGACACCTCTAGCACTATCTCTCGCTCCATTCCCATTGCTGATGCCATCTTCCAGGAATGTTTTGATGAGCTGGCAGGCCTCCTGCCATGTCTACACAGTCCTCCTTATTCCTCAGGAGGATGGTGACCAAAGATGCATCCCAGCCCTGGCTGCTATGCCAGCTGGCCCAGCCTCTGCCTCCTAGTGGGGTCCATCTTCCTCCAGACCTTTGGGAAGAGGGGGAAACCCAATACCCCTGGATCCTTAGAAGGAGATTCTTTCCCTTTCTGGGCTTGATCTTGGGTGATAACACACCCTGCAGATCAATACTGTGACTAATACTGGCTGGTGCTGTGCCTGTGACACAGGTAGAGACGTAGAGACGCTAGTGAGCAAAATATCCTGGGACATGCAAGGCATCCTGGGAAGCACAGGGAGGCCCAGCTGCAGAGCTTTCCCAAGAAAGACTCCTAAGACAGGAGAGAGGAAGAGAGGCAGATGGGGCTGGGGCCTCAGAGGCTAGAGTCCACTTACATGGTTTCATAGCTTTAAGGATAGGTGTCAGCAGTTAAAAGAGAGAGGTATCCTGGTATCATAAAAAGAAAGGGCCTGGAGATCAGAAACTTAGTTTGAATCCTAGCAAGCCATTCAGAAGCCAGTATCCCACATCTACTGGTAGAAGATAGGGGTAATGGCTGCACATCCCTTGCTGGTGTGTGGTGGGCAGAAATAGGTAGAAATGTCCTTAAGTTCAAGCCTGTAATCTCTACAATCAGGAGGCTGAGGCAGGATGATCATGAATTTGAGGACAACCTGGCCTACACAGTCAGGCCCTGTCTCAAAAAGAGAAAGAAAGAAAACAAATGCCCTTTAAAAGGAAGAACCTAGTCAGGCACCAATGGCTCATGCCTGTAATCCTAGCTACTCAGGAAGCTGAGATCTAAGGATCATGGTTCAAAGCCATGATCCTTAGATCTCAGCTTCCTGAGGCAGGAACGTCATTGAGGCTCTTATCTCCAATAAACTACTCAGAGGAAGTGGAAAGTGGTGCTGTGGCTCAAGTGGTAGAGGTCTAGCCTTGAGCAAAAGAAGCCCAGGAACAACATCTAGACTCCAGGATTGGCAACAAAACAAAACAAACCCCAACCAGAACAGAATGGAATGAGGCAAGTAATGTAGCAGGGACATCACAATGCGCTTCACACACAAGAAATGATGGCAGGCCGCCTTCCTTTATCAGCAGGGATGGGGCCACACACAGACCCTTGTTGTGAGTCAGGTACGTGTCTCCTAAGCAGGGATACAAAAGCACACTGGAACAGCATTGTGAGACATGCTAGGCTGCCAAACCCAGCTCCTAACTGATGCACAGGGGATGTTGTTGGTCATAAACAAATCCAGGCAGCCATTATAATGTGCAGAAGGCCTTTGGCTCAGACACCTGCATCACACCTGGGATCACGGGCCTGTGCAGTTTGGGTTGGTGGAGTCAGTGTCTCGTGTTCTAAGGTTGGACAGAGGAAGGCGCTTCAAGGAAACAAAGCAGATGGGGGGTGGGGGTCCAAGCTCATAAAAGCAAAGTTCTGTCACCCCAAGGCTCTTGCACACTCTATGCTCCTCCCCTCCCCTTTTTTTTCTTTTTTCCATTCTAGGCAATGGGGACTGAACCTAATGTCTCTCCATGAGTCTTAAGCCAGCCCCCCCCCCCCCACCCCCAGCTCTGTTTTGCTGTAGCCATTTGGAAGGTAAGACCTCACATTTATTTTTCCCAGGGATGGTCTCAGAGGGTATCCTCCTTCTGTGACCTTCCTAAGACAGAAAGGAACCACCATGCCCAGCTTATCGATTAGGATGTGGACCTCTCCTAACTTCATGCCCAGGCTTGTCTCCAACCAGGATCTTTCTGATCGAGGTGTCCCAGGTAGTTGGGATTACAGGCATGTTCCACACCACCCAGCTCTCCAGTTTCCTTTGGTTCCAGGGGGAAAGGTTTTCCCCAGACCTCTGGTGAGAGCACTATGGTGCCAACCGAGAGGGGCATGGTACCCAGGCCCCTCTCCATGGCCTGCCCTGTCAGAGGGAGTTTGAAGAACTCCTAGCTTCAGCAGCTAGGAGCCAGGCCATCAATTGAGCTGCCTTCTCATTCAGGTATTTTTAGAGCATTCTAAAATGAGAAAATTTTAGTATATTTTTTCCTCCTCCTAATGGTGTTCCAACTTCCTATGAATTGAATAGTCATTTGAAATGATTCATGGAAAAATACCTTTGCTACCAGTAGACTTGTGCTGTAGATAATGTGGTTTCTGGATAATTAGGTATCTAAACACAAACACATGTGTATGTGGCTGTTCCGACTCAGCTGCTACAACCACATGGAGATAAGGAAGTCTGGCCCACCAGATGCTGAGGGCAGAGCATCAGCCCTGGGACCTCCCACCTCCCCACAGCCCAAGCCAGAGGCCCAGCACCACATCACAGCCTGGGGGTCAAGCAGTCCAGCCCAGGGCAGCAGGTCCTCTTCTCATAGCTACCTTTGCTTGAGTGCCTGGGTCTGGGTCAGAACTGGGAAGGTTCCAAAACAGAGTTGATCTCCTCTGCTCCATTCCTCCCTCTGAGTTGTCTGCCCTGCCCTCTTCTCCTTTTCCAGCCAACTCCTGAAACCGCACCACTTTCTCCATAAAGGAGAACCAGCTGGGATGCAGGCCCACTTCCCAGCTCCACCTCCCACCGCAGGCAGCGTTCCCAATGGCTGGGGGTCCCATCTGCAAGTCTTCTTGTTCTGGTTCAGGCTCACGTGGCCTTCTCAGCCTGGAGTTAGCCCTCCAACCTTGAGAGGAATAGAATAATGTGATGTGGTAATAACACTAGTGGTAATGACTCTGGTGGTAATGGTCACCATTGAGACCACGTGGATATGCAAGAGGCCATTACTGCTTTATATCTCCCAGTGACAGACAGTGTTGAACAGTGGTTATGGAGAGCACTGCTTGTGTGACCCTGGCCAGTTACTGAGCCTCTCTGTGCCTCCACTTGCCCATCTGAAAGAGGGGCTCTTTCCTGGAATGGTGTGAATGGGATGAGCGGCCTGTGAAGGGCTCAGCACAGGGCCTGGCACACGACTGGCTGCCTTCCTGCAATGCTTCCACTTGCTTTGTGTCGGCTGCCATTTTGACAAGCGAGGGAGGTTTGGAGCTCTGCACGAAGGTCACGAGGATGGTGATCGGCACAGCTGTTTCTGCGTCCAGGCTGCCTGGCTCTGGGGCCATCTGTTCGTAAGGAACAGCTGTGGGAAGCACCCACGTGCTCTGTGCTCTCAGAGGCCCTGGAAAAGTGGACCTGCGCTGTGGAATGGGCTGCTGTCATCCTCAAAGACAATGGGCGGTGAAGGCTCAGGTCATCCTCCTCCTGATGGGTTCACCCCCCAAAGCACCTAGCTTTTGAGTTCACAGACAGTAGCCTTTAGGTGTTTGGAGTTTGGAGTTTCTGAGCAGAGCACCTGGGACAGGCCTCTGTATCCTCATGGGTGCCGTTCTCCAGCTCCTCACTGGGTCCCCTTGGACAGGATGTGACTTGTACATTGGTTCTTAGTAATCCTGTCCCTGGCTAGGAAGGACCAGGACCCTGTAGAGAAGGCACTGATGAGGGACCAGCAGGCTCAGGTTTGGGGCCATTCAAGCTCTAACTTGGTGCAGGTCACAAACATGCCAGGGTCCCATGTTCTCCAGAATAAGAAGGCGGAGCCAAAGTGGCCCAGATCCCTAGCCATGACCACAGTGACATCATTGGTGGCAGTAGCATCCGGAGAGGTGACAGCTGCCACTGACAGACACCCAGTGACCACTCCACCACTGTTCCTGGTGCTTCTCTTAGAGCGCCAGCTCACTTCCAAGCCCTAGAGACCACACACTACACCGGCCAGGGTTAATAGATGTCTATCACCCTCTATACCAGACAGGACTTCATCCACCTGAACCATCACAGGCCTCCTCCTGGGCTCCTCTCATCCTGTTGGTCAGTCATTAGTCTGTTGGCTAATGCTCATCCCTACCTTTCATTGTTCAGGGTCATTCTTGGGGGGTCCAAGTTGGGGTTCTCCATGGACTCCATCTGTGGACAGCGCAGGAAGTAGTAGAGGGTGTGGAGAGCATCGGGGGACCAGGTGATGGGCTGCGGCGGCTGGCGGGCCTGGCGGGCAGGGCTGGTGCCTGCACACAGTGGGTGGCGCCCTTGCATGTGGTGCATAGCTCTGGAGACCAGGTCACCTGGAGTGGGCAGGGGAGGAAAACCAAAGACAAGACTGTGAGTCCACAGCTCAGATTCTCCCAGGGCTGCTTGTGGCTAAGGAGGAACTGGCTCCTTCTCCTTCTGCAGTGTAATTACTATTTACCCCAGAGTTAAAGGGGCGGAGGTGGAAACTGTCACCTCCATGCACAATAGCAATTTGGTTTCCCTTTCATTTCCAGTCTTGCCGTAACAGCTGAATTAAACCCTTGGTAGGACTGGTTTCCTCTACAACTTATGCTAATGTGGTTTCTTTTTCAACATCCCCACTCTCTCCACCACCCCAGGGGCCTTTCCCCAGGTCTTTGACCACAGAAATCAGCCAGGCTCTGTGGCAATTCTCCCCTGTACTGTTCTGTGTCAAGCCCCAGGACTTCAGCAGACAGGGAGAGTTCTCAGACCTCTATCACCCAAGAGATGGGGGGTCACTGAGCACTCACTATGTGCAATATGATACAATTCCTAAGATATACAGCTTACATATAGTGCGAGAGGGTTAAGAATAATTTCTATCAACCCCCCCCCCTCCTTTTTTTTTTTAGTGCCAGTACTGGGACTTGAACTCAGGGCCTTGCAACTCTCACTTGGCTTTTTCTCCCATGGCTAGGGCTCTACCACTTGAGCCACACCTCCGCTGCTGGCTTTATGCTGGTTAATTGAAAAGAAGCATCTCAGATTTGGCTACTGGGACTGATTTCAAACCACAACCCTCAGATCTCAGATTCCTGAGTGGCTAGGATGACAGGCAGGAGCCACCAGCACCTGGCTTAGATTTCCCCACAGTTTTAGAAGGAGAAGTGAAGGCTTACTGATGAAGAAGCCTTCCCTGAACCCTGCATTCTCCTGGTGCAGGGAAACTGCGGTGCACACAGCGGCGATGCTCAACTGTGGTTGTATAGGTAGTGTAGCTGGTGAATGTCTCCCATTTGATTTGAATCCACTCTTGTTTACTCCGAAGCCCATGAACTTCACTGTGATCTGGGCTGCATCCTGCCCGATTGCAGTCTGTAGGGTCCTCAGTCCCCACATCCTGTGTTGTTTTCCTATGTCTTTTCAATATCCCACCAACCTGGGACAGGAAACATCCCATCATTGTGTGAAGCCACAATGCTGAGACAGGATGGGCACCTGCAGGCACCTCCGCTCTGGGACAAGCGGCGCCTCTGCCTTCTTTCTAGGCCTGAGAACTTGGGCGCCTCCCCACCGTGGGCCAGCTTTCCAAGATCTCCTAGTCTGGTGGTCAACTCCAGGGCCAAGAGACAGAGTTCCTGACACCAGCTCCTGCCCAGAAACTGATTTCATTAGGTTGTTTTTTTTGGGGGGGGGAGAGCAATGGGGAGCAGTGCTCTAACACCTACAGTTTGTGAAAGTTCCTCTGTGATTTTTATGTCCGGTCAAGTTTGAACATTGTCAGGAAATTGAATTAGAGCATGGATTCCAGAACTATGCATGTGGGGCTTCAGATCAGGGTTCGGCTACTTCCAGCCTGCATGCTCTAATGTAATTGCTCGAGTCTCAGTTTCCTCATCTGTAAAATGGAAACGATAGCACCCACTCTACCAATTCTGAGGACTGAAAGAAATAATAAACATGGGACATGTAATGCCATGTTTGACCCAGCATGAATACTTGCTACATTTGACTACAAGGCTGGTGTTATTAACACTCTCCAATTTCTTCTCTATCCTACACTTGCGCTGAGCAGCAATTCCAGGACCCGTGCCTCGGCTCACACGCTGCCCACATTTCCCAGGACAGGAGGAGTCTGGATCCTGAAACACTACACATCCCAGCCTTGCCCTCAGGCTGCTGGGCAGCAGAAACTCGCAGCCAGGCTGCCCTGCCTCCCACAGCCAGTCTCACAGTGAAGCTGGGCGGCAGGAAGCTGAAACCTGGCTCCTGTTTGCTCCACCTCTGAATGTCATAACATTTGGCGGGACCACAGGACCACAAGGAGGAGAAATCAAAGCGCCTGCGATAGCATCAAAGACGAAGCTTGTTGAAATATCATTCCAAAGGCCTCAATAAGGTAGAAGTCATTACCATTAATTATTTTTATTGTTGTTTTATTGTTATTGGTGAAGAACCCGTTGGCAGCACATTTCCAAGCAGAATACAGGCAAGAGAACCAAAGAAGAACTGGGAGCCAGGGGCGGGCAGGGGTTCCAGAAGGGTCAGGTAAACGAAGTAGCTGGAGTAGGAGGCCCTGGCTTCTTCCAGTCCTAGTCTAGTCCTTCACCAGCAGCTTTTCTCCATGACCACATGTATCTGTGGAAAACTTGGATCAAACTTATCTAAAAGCTTACACTGCTCCGGAATCCATTTATGACAAAAGAAAGGATCTTGCTTAGAATACTCCCTCCTCCCCTCTTTCTCTCATTTCTGGGGCTTGAACTCAGGGCCTAGGCACTGTCCCTGAGCTTCTTGCTCAAGGCTAGCACTCTACCACCTCAGCCACAGCACCACTTCTGGCTTTTTCTATTTATATGGTACTAGGGAATTGAACCCAGGGCTTCATGCATTCTAGGCAAGCACTCTACCACTAAGCCACATTCCCAGCCCTGGATATTCTCTTAAGGGAATTTTTCCTTCCTGGGACTTTCTATTTCTTAAGCTTTGTGACATACATAAAAGAGGCAAAATCTCATTTAACGTTTACCATCAACCTTGGAAGAGCGGTATTTCCATTTTTATACACAAGGAAATAGTGCACAGAAGTCCAATGATGTCTGATCTGCAAACTAGCCTGTGAATTTAACCTTGGGCTCTGCCTTCCATACACAAAATCAGATCCATCTCACCAATGCCACTGAAAGTGTGGTCTGTGAACAAGAGTAGATCTAGATATTGTTACTGGTTCACAAGTTAATTTCAGAAATGGAAAGTGAATTAAAAAAAAGGTATTCAAAGCAAATCTGACAGAATAATTTTGTCTATGTACTCTAAGAATCATTTTATGTTTTAGATAACACTGAGATTGTAACAGGTATATTGGTGCATGTCAGTAATCCTGGACACCTGAGAGGTGGATATAGGGAATTTTCAAGGCAGGCCATGCAAAAGTTAGCCAGACCTGTTTAAAAATAAGACAGGAATGGTGGTAACACACTTATGAGCCCAGCTACCTGGCAAGTAGAGGTAGGAGGATGGCAGTTAAAGGCCAGTCTAACTAAAAACACGGGACCCTGTAGAAATGAAGGGACAAAGGGTGAACAAATGTAGCAGTGGTACTCACTAGATACTATGCTGAAAATGAACTATACAACTTATGGGTGGAGACAGGAAAGAAAAACTGGGAGAGAACGAGAGAAGGGGTGACATTGTCCAAAAAGAAATGTACCCTTGGGCTGGGAAGGTGGCTCAGTGGTAGAGCGCTTGCCTTGCATGCTCAAGGCCCTGGGTTCGATTCCTCAGCACCACATAATCAAAAAGAAAAAAGCTGGAAGTGGCGCTGTGGCTCAAGTGGTAGAGTGCTAGCCTTGAGCTGAAGAGCTGAGGGACAGCGCCCAGGCCCAGAGTTCAGGCCCCACGACCGGACCCAAAAAAAAAAAAAAAAAGAAATGTACCCTTTACCTGACTTATGTGACTGTAACCCTATTTATATCACATTTATAATAATAATTTTTTAATCCAGAAAACATAACTTTAAATAAAAACAGGGAAGGAATGTCATTATCCAACCCCCCCTCCAGAAAACATAAAATATTCACACACACACACACACACACACACACACACACACACACACAAAGCTAGATGCCAGTGGCTCACGCCTGTAATTCTAGTTATTCAGGAGGCTGAGATCTAAGGATAGTGGTTCAAAGCTAGCCTTGACAGAAAAGGCTCTGTGAGACTCTTATCTCCAATTAACCACTCAAAAACTGGAACTGGTGCTGTGGCTCAAAGTGGTAGAATGCTAACCTTGAGCAAAAAGAGCAAAAAGAGCTCAGGGACAATGCCCAGGCCCCGAGTTCAAGCCCTATGACTGACTAAAAGACAAAACAAAAGGGGGGAAAAAAAACAGAGGAAAAGAGTGACACTGTCCACAAAAAAATATACTCTTTACCTGACTTATATAACTGTAACCCTTTGTATATCATCTTTATAATAACAATAAAAAATTAAAACAACAAACAGACCTTGAGGCCCTATCTGAAAACAAACTAAAACCAAAAGGTGGTAGAGAGCTTGCCCAGAAAATGTGAGGCCCCAGTCCAAACCCCAAGGAAATGAAGTTGAGCTTGTACTTTACATGTCTTTTTTTTATTATTATCTTTTACGTATATTTTACTATAATGTTCAGTCTGTGACAGAGTAGAGTCTTGGCCTTGAAACATGGCTAGTTAGTAAAGCCCTGCTGTGGCGGGGCCCAGATCTTGGATCAGCACAGGTGGGTGCCCAGAGCCTCTGGAACTTTCTTACACTTGAGAATCAATTGATCCCATGCTCAATGAAACCTTGGTCTGAAGCCCAGAAACACCCACCGGCAAGGAAAGAAAACAAGCCCTCACTCCTTGTTAACCATGAAAGACTTGATTAGAGGCGCTCGCAGGTTTCACTCTGGTCTGTCCAACCCTCATTATGAGCCATCAAATAAAAACAGCAGGCGAGAGTCAGGAATGCAGCACTGTCTTCAAAATAAGGCCCCTCACATCTGGCTGCCTTTAAAAATAAGTGTTTTGTTTTGTTTGTTTCTTATTCCTTCCCTTTAACTTTTTCATGGGTACAGAGGGACAGAGCAAAACACAGGGATCTAAGCTCCCCACGAAACTGCTTAACCTACTGGGCAGGCTGGTCTTGGCGGGGCGCAGAGAGCTAATGCATGTAAAACCCAGGGTGAACTTTAGGTCCAAGGTGCCTGGTGCCAAGTATCACTAGCCTCATTAAGTTCTTTAGTCTCGGAGAAAAATTACAATATCTGCCTCTGCCTCTGTCTTCTCCCTCCTCCACACTGGGTTAGCAAAAACCTCTGGTTTCAGGGGAGGGGCGGCAACTCAGGGTGTGACCTATCTTGTTCTGTTGCCTGGAAAGAATCTAGCGATCTTCTCTGGATCCTGATGAGTGGCTGGGCCAGGGTGAGACCAAGCCTGGGTGAATTTCAGGAGATATATTCTGGGTAGGATAGAAAATGTATTCCTTCTAATGCACAGGTGTGCACGCATGCACACACATTTGTGTACACATAGTGAGCACTGCATGCTGTGCTATGCACTGTGGCAGGGACTATTTCATGCTCCTGGGACAAAGCAGTGAATTAAACTGATCATGGTTCTGTCCTCATAAAGCTGAAGTTCTCATCAGAGGAGAGAGAGGTAACCAGTCTTACTTAGAAGTAAGTATCTCACTTACTTACTTATCTTTCAAGTGGGGGTCAGAGCTTTGAGTAAAGCTATAGCCATGCCAATGCCATGGGGAGGAGATAGAGGAATGAAGGGTTTTGAAAGGCCTATAGGATATAGAGTCATTTAGATGGAGGCTTAAAAGAGTAAAGGGTTAATGTACTTGGGCAGTGGTGAAAAAAATGTTAGAGAGAGTATCTGGTACAAAGACCCAGGGGCAGCCCGGCAGCGGTTGTAATCCTAGCTACTTAGGAGGCTGAGATCTGAGGATCACGGTTCAAAGCCAGTCTGGGCAGGAAAGTCCATGAAACTCTTATCTCCAATAAACCACCAGAAAACCGGAAGGCACTGTAGCTCAAGTGGTAGAGCGCTCGCCTTGAGCTGAAGAGCGTAGGGACAGTGCTCAGACCCAGAGTTCAAGCCCCACGACCGACAAAATAAAAACAAAAAAACAAAAAACAAAACAACACAATAAAACCCAGGGGCAGAAAGGCACTTGGCTAGGAAGATGGCTTCGTGGCTGGAATACAGGTATTAAGAGAAGAGTCTGCAACTGGAGTTAGATAGAGCACAAGTTCAGAGAGAACACAGGCCCTGAGCTTAAGCACCAATACCAGCAATTAAACTAAATTAAAAATAAGTAGGGTGTTAGTGGCTCAGGCCTGTAACCCTAGATACTCAGAAGGCTGAGATCTGAGGATCACAGTTTAAAGCCAGCCCATGAAACTCTTATCTTCAACTAATCACCAGAAAACTGGAAGTGGTGCTGTGGCTCAAAGTGGTAGAGACTAGCTTTGAGCAAAAGAGTGCCCAGGCCCAGAGTTCAAGCCCATGACTGACCCCCTCATCCCATCCTCTCATCCTGCCCCCCAAAAGTAAGAGAAGAATGGGGTAGGTGATGAAGCCAGATTGCAAATCAGGTCTCCAACCACAGTGAGGAGGTGGTATTTTGCTGTGGGCACTGGGAAGCCATCAGTGTGGACAGCATGGACTTGAGCAGATGAGTAGCACTGTCCAATTTATGTTTTAAATGTCCTGGGCATGGGCAGGGTTGCTAACATGGGGGAGGTAAAAGAGGCAAACTCAAACTCGAGGTGGTTCTAGAACAATATGGAGGGAATGATGGCAAGCCCTTCCCCTGCAAGCCCCCTACATAGGGGACTGGCTTGGACTGCAATGGGAGAAAGGGCAAAGAATCAGAGTTCAATCTTGATCCCCACAGGCCTGAGAAGCTAAGGCTGAGCTGCTGGCCACATCTAGGAAGCCCGCAATAGCAGAGCCCTCAGAAGTGAGCCCTGCTCTCCTTGTTGGCAGGGTTGAGCTGGGAGAATGAATTCCTTTCCTTTTCTAAATCTCTAGGGTGTGTTCTGAGAACTGAGTGGGATATAGAGTAGGTGCTTCACTGTGCCTTGAGCACACTAAGTGCTCCATTGAAATTCAGCAGCAAAGTAAAATGAAGGCGCTCTTCAATGAATGGAGCCCCAAGGACTCTCACTGTGCTCAGGAAACATGGCCTGGCCCCAAGATAGCCCCCTAGCCAGGAGGCATTTGGTAGAAAAGAGATCAAGCCACACACTGGAGCCCACTTCCCTGGGCAGGGCCTTGGGGAGCAGGAGACCCAGGCAGCCCTGTGCTCTGTCTATCTGCTGTCAAAAGACGGAGCTGGAAGTCCCTGTGACCTTGAAGCAGGCACCTTCATTTCCTGTCTTGGGAGGGGGGAACAGAATAGAAGGAGGAAGTTGCATCTGGAAGGAACCGAGTGGCTTAGCACTCACTGTTCAGATTCCAGAAAATGACAAAGACTCGCTGATGGAGAAAGCTGGAGCAGAGTGAACCTCCCTTGTCTCTATGTGGGGTGCTATGACCCTTGCTAAGAGAGCACGCCTCCCCCTCATCAATGGCATCATCTCTACAGAGCAAGGAGAAATCAGGAGCCAGAGTACCATGTTTTATTTCCTAAGTAATTGGGATGAAGAGAGGGCACACTTGGTGTGGGATTTCTGTTTTACAGGCCCTGAGGTCCTGTAAGGCACCTAGAGGCTGGGGGCAGGATCCACCATGTATCCCCTGCTCCGCTTCAGCCAGATGCTGTGTTCTTTTTTGGGGGGGCGGGGGTGGGGGATTGCTGGACCTGGGGCTTGAACTCAGAGCCTGGGTGCTGTCCCTGAGCTTTTTTTTTTTGCCCAGGGCTAGCACTCTACCACTTTGAGTCACAGCTCCACTTCTGTTTTTTGTTTGTTTGTTTGTTTTATAGTTAATTGGAGATAAGAATCTTATAGACTTTCCAGCCCAGGCTTGCTTCGAACCATGATCCTCAGATCTCTTCCTTTTGAATAGATAGGATCACAGGTGTGAGCCACCAATGACTAGTTTGCAGTTTGCTTTGTGTGTGTGTGTGTGTGTGTGTGTGTGTGTGTGTGGTTTGAGAAGGAGCAATGGTTGGAAAGGCTGAGCTCTCTGGGCTGGCAGGTGATGTGAAGATATCCAGGTCTGTGTGTGTGTGTGTGTGTGTGTGTGTGTGTGTGTGTGGTTTGGGAAGGAGCAATGGTTGGAAAGGCTGAGCTCTCTGGGCTGGCAGGTGATGTGAAGATATCCAGGTCTGTGGCAGTAGGGGCTGCATGCTGCGCACCTCACTGCAGCTTGCCTCCCACCCATCCATCATTGCTGGCAGGGCCATGATAAGGGTGCTGCTGGCTGAGTTTTTAAAAGAAACTAGAAATCATATTAACAAGTGACTGACCATGCCTTACAGTCTGTGAGCCACCAAGCTGCCACAGTTGGTCTAGAAGGATCCAGCTTTCTTAGAAGGCCTGAGATGTAGAGCAGGCAGCCAGGATGTAGGCTGTAAGTTCTGCCCTATCTTCTCCCTGAGACCCCTGCTCTAGCCCAGGGGCTGGATGTGGAGGTGACACTTACTCAGTTCCGAGATGCTGCCCACACATGTGGCCAGGAGAGATTGCTCCAGGGTCCGCAACTCCAGCTGAGCATAGGCGTCCGCACGCTCATCGTGGCCCAGGGACCCGCCATTGTAGGGACTGAAGTAGGCAGGCAGAGAGAGGACGCCTGTGGGAAAGCAAGATGGAGAGGTTATTCTCACTGTGGTGATGGTGGTCGGAGGCAGAATTCAGCCCCTTCCCTTCTGCTACAGCAGGGTCACGAGGCAGATCTCCCTGAGACTTAAGAACATTGGACTTCTTACTCTGGGTCAGAGGGAAAAGAGGCCCCACTGTGGCTGGGGCTTTCCCCATGTGGAGACTACCCTCTCCTGGAGCTGTCCAAGGGACTGGCCTACTTAGGCTTGTGGGCAACCTACTGATTATAGCATGTCTGACTGAGAGAACAAGGTGTCCTGAGTGACAGGTAGAGCTGGCTTTGTGTCATGGTACTCAGGAGTGGTTGGGCCAGAGGTCAGTGACCATCTTGTTCACCCAAAGGCCAGTTCCACCCATGGAGTCCTCTCACTTCCCTATGTTCTCATGTGCTTCTTCAAGCCCAGAAAGGGCTGGGGGTGGGGGAGCAGGGAGGAGAGGAGAGCCACCACTGGGAAAGGGACACTGTCCTTACTACTCCAAGCAAGGGATGTGGCCCAGCCCCTGGCCAAGTCCAATTAGTGTTTCTCATTAGCACTTCAACAGCTGAGAGCAGAGCTGTCAGAATCCATCCCAGGGGAAGACGGGCTGGAAATCTCTCCGCCTCACTGTGTGGCTTCTTAGTAAGGCCAGAAAAGCAAACTTGTGCTGCTTTCAGATGACACATGGCGTCATAAAGAGCACGTGGCCCCAGAAATTCTCACTGTGGCCAGGGCCCCGAGCAGGGGTTCCTAATGTTTGGTAACTCCCCCACCTTCCACCCAACTTTTATTTATTATTAATTTATTTTTCAAGAAAGAGACTCAGAGGAATGGCATTAGTCACTTTGGGGGAACAATCTAAAATGTACTGAGAGAGCCAGAGAGCCTCTGGGGTGTGGCCAAGCCTGGGTTGTAATCTCCACAGTGCCCAGGTGAGGTGTGCAACAAGGACAGTGGCTGTAATGGGTTGGCATCACAGAGTGGATAAAACAAGGCCTTAGGGTGGAAGCCTGGGGTCAGAACTCCAGTCCTGGCATGTGAATAGCAGCGTGATCCTGGGCAGCCATTTGGTCCACTCTCCATTAACCAGAGAAAGCAAAAGTCCCCCCTTCCCCTCCCCCCAACTGCACCCCAGCAGCTCATGGGGCTGCTGTGAGGTGGGGCTGAATCACCAGACTATTGCTTGAGCACTAGCACCAGCACGTGGCTGGGAATTGGTCCTCTATTAAGTGTGATTGCTGTTATTTGCGTTCTGTGCTGGAAACATGGGCTGCTATTGACACTGTGTCATTTATCTTTCGGCTACTCTGGAGACTGGCGCTAAGGCTCTGGTTTCAATGTTGAGAGGCTGACAGGGGGACAGTATGAATACCCTGCTTAGGTAGGTAGAGAAGATGAGATGCAAACTGGGGTGGGGATAGTTCTAGAAAGTGAGCCTAGACTGCAATGAACGTAAAACTAGGACCAGAGTGTCGGACACCTCTTGCTGAGCTCTGAATTTCTCTCTGGAGAGGCAGGCAAAGGGACCAGATTCTGGCACAATGTCCTCCCTGACCATTCGGCAGGTTTGGGCTGGTTAGGTTTGCCCTTGCCCAAGGCAGGCCTCCCAGCATCCTGTGCTTGAGTGGCTGAGACCTGCCTCCCTGCCCCTCCCCTCAGCCTTCCCATCAGACCAGCACTGACTCTGTAAGGTTCTGAATCAAAGCCAGTCCTCCAAGCTTTGTTTCAGCTGGAGGAAGGGGAAGAGTGTGTAGTGGAGTTGCCCCTACCAAGGCCCCATTTTCTAAAGCAGAAATTTTCCTGACAGCTGAGTAACCAAACACGCTAGGAAGAGCTGGCTCTGAGCACTGAGACATATACAACAAAGGAGAAAGCCACCCAACGACATGCCTCAGCCCACAGGCAGCCCACAAGCAGCTGCAGGAGTCTGTGCGCAGCCTGCTTCTTCTTCCTCTCTCCCCTCCTCATCCCCAGAAACAACACTGGAGACATGTGGATCAAATTTGCAGTGCTTAGGCAAGGGAATTGGACATTCAGCTGATTTGTCAAAGGATTCCCAGAGAGTAATATTATGTCAATAGATGGAGTAACACGAGCTGGCTGCCCTGTTAATAATAGCCCCCATTTCCCCAGTCATCACCACTCAAAGGGCCTTTCACTCAATACTGTGGCAAAAATAGTTATGCACCTATTATTAATAACAGTAATTGATAGCATAACAGCTTTGGCATAGGACCTTTGGCTTTTAAGAGGTGTGTGTGTGTGTGTGTATGTGTGTGTGTGTGTGTGTGTGTATGTATGCATATGTGCGCGTGCCAGTTCTGAGGTTTGAACTCAGGGCCTTGGTGCTAGCATTTTCACTTAAGTCTAGAACTCTACCACTTAAGTCACATATCCATTTCTGGCTTTGTTGACAGTTTACAGGAGATAAGAACCTCATGGACTTTCCTGCCCAGGCTGGCACTGAACTGTGATCTTCAGATCTCAGCTTCCTGAACAGTGAGGATTATACACATAAGCCACTGGCATCTAGTTTAACAGATTTTTAAATATCTATTTTGTAGTTTATTTTTCTAGCAAGAGAGATAGAGAGCCATCAGTATTATTAACAGCCAGGCTGACTTTTTAATTGAAGGTTTACTATGTGCCAGGTACTGTGAGAACAACTTCTTATGTATTCCCACATTTAAGTCCAGGACATCACCTTACAGATGAGAAGTCCAAGGACAAAGCTAAATGACTTGCCCAAGGTTGCCCAGGTTCCCAAAAAGTGAATGGGGCTAGAGCTTTAATCTCTCCAATGAAATCTGTTCAAATGAAATGCCACTCTAACCTGGACTTCTGGGTCCTTCTGGTAAGAAAACATCTAGGATGCTTGGGAGGAGAGGGGTCTGAGGTTTGATCAGAGGGAACCCAAAAACCTAGAATTAGGACTTTTAATAAAGCTCTAGGTTTTCTGGAAGCCTCTCATGAAACTCCAAAAGTGGAAGGCAGTCTTTTTTATTCTCACTTGCCTTCCCAGAATGCAGTTCTGCAGCTTTTATTCCAAATCTACTCCTACCAAAACAACAGCAAAAAAAAACCAAAAAACAAAACTTCTCCATGTCAATCTTAAATATTCTGCAGCTCACAAGGAGACAGAAATTACTTTCTTTGTATTCTAATTCCTCTCAATCCCTTGATTTCTCCTTCCCCACCCCCCACTTCCCAAGCAAGGTTCCCTACCTCCCCAAAAGAGGAATTCCCAACAAACAAGAAAATAAAGGACATATATAGTCTTCCATTTAGTAAAGTCTTTAGGAGAAATAGATCATCTCAGTCTTAATAGGAAAGCAAGCATACTGGAATGTTTCCTTCTCAGCTCCAATCCATCCCTGCAGAACTCTGCTCGCTACACACAGAACCAAGTGCATCGCTCAGGTCATTACTATGAAGTGAATTACTAAATGTGAAATATGATGGTGATTGAGCTGTCCTCTGCCTTCCTCTCATGCTGACTCAGCGCCCCACTCCAACTGTCTGGGAAACTTCTACAAGTCTCTATCTATATGGAGTCATAATCTCTACCTTCTACCACTCAACTTTTCTCATTCTGATTGCTCAACCCCTAAATCTCAGAACTCATTATTTTGTTTCTCAAAACCTCCTCCTCTATCTTCCTCCTCCTCTTTCTCAGTTCTCTATCTGGTTGCCCAACAGGAGACCTCTGAGCCTTCATTACTGAGGAGGAGCCTCAGTAATGATGTTAGGATCCTTGCTTCTCTAGGCCCTGGTGTGGGGGTGGGGACAATGATTTCTGCCTGGGTGATTTCCCATGCACGCCCAGAGGGGGCGCCACTGAATGGAGACAAGAAGCTTGGTCATCTGGCCTTCTTGACAGCCTCCTCCCAGCCATGTGAAGAATAGATGGGCAGCACCCTGGGTTAACGAAGCAACTTTCAGTGGCAGAGAATCAATGGAGATTCCATCCACTGCTCTGTGAAGACGCTGGCTTGATCTGAGGGTGTCTCAAGTTCTCTCCAGCACTGCTCTAGCCTCTGAGTGACCCATGTAGTCTCTAACATGATGTGGACCCAAAGGTAGACCTGTTGGTTACTACTAGTTCCTATGCCTTAATTTCCCTCACAGACATAAGACCTCCCCAACACACACACATACACACACACACACACACACACACACACACACACAATTTTAAGTATAAGAAAAAAAGACACATTCTGTATAAAACAGAACAAGTTTGTAGTTCAACTTTTCTTAGTTTTTGCTTTTTTTTTTTCAACTTAAGGTCTTGCTATAGCTCAGGCTGGCCTTAAACTCTCCCTCCTGATCTTTGCTTAGGTTCCCTCCCCTCCTTACCAAGTACAGGGATTATAGCTATAAACCACCACACCTGGCATGTAGTTCAGTGTTTCTGAGCATTCATCAAAAAAAAAAAATCAAGGCTTTTTATTTTTTAAACTCAGCAAACCATTACCTGTGCACTCCTCAGAGTTATAAATGTTCTATCTGTTCAGTAGGCCCAAACATCTTTCAAGTCCCTGACCCAACTCTCTCCCATCCCCAAAACAAGACCTACTGGCCACTGGTCTCAAGGATGCTCTCTTGCCAAAGCAGCTGAGATCCATGCCTGTCCTGCTTCTTTGAATTGAAGACCGGCATGCAGAGGATTATTTTTACTGTCTTGCAAGGAACACATGGGGCAGGGGCACTTCCACTAGTTTTCATAAGGGCTGTAGGCACAGATGGAGTTCAATCCATAAGCATCTCAAAGGAAAAATCATATTGCCCCAGTATGGCTTCCAAGTGGCCCACAGAATCCAATCCATTTAAAAAAGGTGTTTCTGCTCTCTGATCTGGACCTTTATATACAACACGTGGAGTGCCAGTTGCTGTGTATGAGTCATTCCAGAACAAAGTACGGGAAGATTGAACATGAATGTCTTTCAGAGTCCAACATGAGAGGTAAGGACAGTAGATTCTGAAGAGCTTC